GTTTCAGGGATTTGGGATTTGGGATGCTTTAGGGATTAAGGTTTGGGGTTTCAGGGATTTGGGATTTGGGATTTGCGGTTGTGAGGGTTTAGGGTTCAAGATTCGGTTCGGGAGGTTCTGTGGTTCTGTAAGTGTTCTTCACGTTAGCGGCGGTCGGCACTGAAAACCTTGTCCAGATGTTCCAATATCTCATATAAGGAAGATACAAAAGTATATTCCTTAACTAAGGGATTCTGGAAGATCTAGGTAGTCGGGTCTACGCGTTTGGGGTTTGCAGGGGTCTCTTTGTCTGCAGCACAAGTAGTCATGTGCAACCCAGAGTAGGACTTGTGCAAGCATCAGATTATGGATACGGCGCAGAATCGCGGAAGAGCGGCTTGCTCGTGAGTCCGCAACGGTCGTCCGTCGGCTCCTCCTACTGCATACAGCCTATAGATCGACATAAACCTGCTCGACTTCGTCGAGCGATTGCAGCAGGCGTAAGAGGCTGCACAGTGGGATTGGTCGGTTTGGCTGTGCACGAGACTCGGGGCGACTTAATCCCGGCCTAAAACCTGCGAAATGCCCGAGTGGTGAAAGTCACCCGAAACTCTAAACCCTAAACCCGTAAATCAAAGGATCCCGGGACTCAGTAGCTCAGGGTTCCTTTGTGAAGTTCTATAAGGAATCTATACATGTGTCGGGTTCTAGGGATCAGGTAACCATTGCCACCCTCGTTACTTATGGCCTCAACTAAGGCAATCTCAACCCTAAGCCCTAAAGCCTAAACCAACTATAAACCTCAGGATACTTGAGGATGGAGGCCGGACGCTCCAAACCCTAAACCATCCTAAACCAAAAACCAGTAGCAGCCTTACGTAGACGTGGAAGACTTTGCAGTAATTTCCCTAATTAGTCCCAATATACGCATAGTATAAGGTACCCTCCGAAGCCCTAGTCCAACTATTAAGGCCCTTATATAGTACACAGAGAAACGGCTCCACAAGCCACTGCTGCTGTCACGGAGGTGCCTGTGCCAATGACGCAAGAGGAGCTTGCATCTTAGGGTTTTTAGAGGATTTCGAGAGGAGATGTCCAGAGGTTTGAGGTTCTCAAAGTCAGGGGGATTTAATTGTAAACCCTGAAACCACAAAACCCTAATCTAGGGTTAGAGTTTAGGAACTTTGTGGTTAATTCAAGTTTTTCTGTCATGACTCGTTGCGCGGACATCGGATCATAGTGGCCGGTAGTGGATTATGAGTCAGGTAACTGTGCACCTGTAAATGCTGGTAACCCCATAAAGGTACAGTAGTTGTAGCTTGACTTCGGTCTGTCGTCCAAGAAGACGTGGTCGACGGGTGAGGGCGGTCGCTGTGACTCGTGTCATGCAGGAGCAGATCCATGTGCCCAAGATCATCACCCAGACCCGCCACTCGATGCATCCAAAAGGCCTAATTAATGGAGAAAACGCAATAATTAGCAGTATTGTTCCGCTATCGATAACATAGCCCCCAAACTGGGCTATCATTGACGGACTTTGACAATAGGGAACTATAGTTGCTGGCAAATGTAGGGTTTCCGAATGATGAACACTTAATTTAGAACACCAGAGGAGTCTCAATACTTGGAAACCGAAATAGTCCCAGAACGGTAAGTTCCTAAACCCCTAAACCCTAAAGCCCCAAGCTCTGAACCCTAACCCTAAACCCCCCAAAGCCCTAAACTAGGCGTCCCCTATCTCAAGGAAATCAGAAGCCTCAAATCGGAGAGGCAAGGCCTTCAACGGGCGCTAACCGATGAACTCTGAACCTGAAAACCCTAAACCCTAAACCCTAAACCCTAGCTCAAAGCCTAAACCCTCACGCCTGACCATAAACCCTAAACCCTGAACTTGAAAACCCTAGCCTAACAACCAAGCCCAAGGTCAGATGCAGCAGACTGTGGAGCAGATCGTTGAGGTTCCTGTGCCTATGACTGAGGCCATGGGATTCGTGTCATGCAGGGCATTTTGGGTTGGGGTTTGTGTTTGAAGGCCCCGGGTTGAGGGTTTCGGGTTTAGGGTTGCAAGGTTGTCCGTTCAGGAGTTTGGTGCGCAGGCCTTGCAGGGTCTGACAGTGTGGCGGGGAGGGGTCATTATTCCGGATTGGGGACAGACTGCATCGTAAGCAGCAGAAGCACCAATCTTAGCAACCGTCATAGTGGTCCTCGCAGTGCAGAACCGTTGCAGGAGTGATCGGCAATCGTAGAAGAACGTTGGTCGCGTGAGCCATGAACAGGGGTGAACGTCAGGAGTATTGACAGTATCTTTGCGGCCAAGTGTGAAAGCTGACATTTCTGGTCGGACATCGTCCTGTGATTCACGTCATGGTCGCTAAAGGCGATGGTGTCATTGTTCTTGCTATTCCGTTAACAGTAGTTGCTGTTGCCACTTGCCTTTGCGGTTTTCCCCGCTGATACGGGGGTCTGTAGTTGCCTTCGTTGTTCAGTGGCATTTTGACTTCGGTTTTCTGCGGATTTGGGTTATCACTCCACCCACGCTCAGCTTCACCGTGCTTTCTAGTCGGCAGTATTCAAGGCTTTCGTTGGGTTGTTGCTCGTGATTACAGTCTCTGCTGCTACAACTTGTTGCTGCTGCTGCTTGTTCTGGTTTGCACTGTGGTTGTTGCCACCCTTAAACCCCCTAAACCGTAAACCCTAAAACCGGCGAAATTACTTTGTTTGCTGCCTGAGGACGCTGGTAGGTCGTGGGTCTACGAAGTTTGGGCATGGCTGGGCCTCGTTGGTTGCTAGTCTTTGTTGTTGTCTGTTTAGGGTATAGGGTTAAGGGTTAAGGGTTAAGGCAATCACTCTTGGCATTACTTCGTCGCAACAGGGCTGCTGCTGAGCTGTCAAGATCTTTGAATTGTCTGGTATTCTTACTATGGCTACTTGCCTGCCGAAGAGTCATGTCATTATCTTGATAGCAACGGTGCCACAACAATGGCAAAAAGACCGACTGCAGCAGCATCTAGCACCACAGCCTACCGTAAGCCAGGAATGGCACTCATGTTTCGAGCCGATCCTAAATCTAAACTCCTCAAGCCACACCCAGCCCCAGGCATCCAATTGCAAGTCCCTAATCCTGGGTTTTTCAGAGCCGTCTCTCCCCTGGTCAGGAGGTTGTCGTGCATGTGCCGAAGACGGTGACGCAGACGCGCGTGATGCATCAGCACGTCGAGCAGGCTTGCAGGGCGAACCTCAGCAATAACAAAAATCATAACAATAGCAACAGTAAAGACAATAATTATCATAAGCATATACAAATATAAGTTCATGAAGAAATACTGTATATATATATATATACATACATAGAATACCATATCAACTTGAAGCCTTCAGGCTAAAGATACTGAGCACTCGAGGCTGTTCATGGTCCAACTAGGGTTCGAGGGTTTCGTTGCACAGGTTTGGTAGATAGAAGCTTAAGGGTTCGAATTTTACCTGGACCTGAGCACAAGGATAGAAAGACACCAGTGGTGTGTGCAAGTTGTGTTAAACCATCGTCGTGCAAGGCCGTGCAAAGCAACTCAGGGTTGCATCGAAGGAACGGCGCGGGCTGTGGCGCTTGATCCAGGGAATTTAGGGGAAGCTACAGCCGCTGCGGCTGACACGTCAACTTGTCTTGTCGGAATGCTTAAGCCCCTAAGCCCTAAGCTTTGCCTAAGCTTTACGCTAAACACCAACTCCAGCGCAAAGCCCAAAATCATGGCATCTTACCGAGCACAGGAATCTGTGCGACCGCAGAAGCAATTCCACCAGACATTGCCCATGGGGTGTTAAAGCTTGGGGTACTGGTACCTTATGTTGTGGGTTCTTTATGTTACGGATCCTCTTTCGATTGATGAGGCAGCATGAGCGGCGTAAACCCCAAATTCCCGGAAGCCGAAACCCCTAAACCCCTAATCAGGGCTACAGGGCATCCATAAGGGTTACAGTAAAGATGCTATATGGGCTACTTGTTGGGGCTTCAGGGTTGAATATAGAGGTATGCGTCCATACTGGGAGTATGAGTAACCGCTCATTCTTCCCTATGAAGGGGCATACCACAATGCGTCGATGTCGCTTCTCAGAGATACCTACGTAAAAACGGGCAGAACCTACTTATGATTCTATGTTATTTGGGGTTCGTGTCAGGTTGCTTTCGGGCGGTTCCAGATTCCGGATTCCTAAAATGCAGGTTCCAGCCAGCTTTAGATGTTGAAACTATAGGCGCTGCAATTACTTCAAACCGTATAGAGCAGCTCCCAAACCTTAAAGCAGAGTCATGCCCTACACTTCGAGCCCGCAAACTTTAGCACGCTTTGACCACAGCTCGAAACCCTGAACCAGAAGGCTGAGCTTAGCCTACTTGGAGGATCATGGGACCTCTTAATGACAAGTAACGATACGCAGAGTTACGTTATTTATGACCCTAGCTACTAAGTCTCATGGTCCTTTAAGCTTCCTACCTAAGCCGCCTTAGCCCTAAACCCTTACAGGGAATCCCACTCTAGAGCCCTACACCACCCTTAACAGATCCTTTAAGTAGAGGTCCAAGAGTCGATGCGGCTCTGGAGAACCCTGGGTTCTGAAACCCGAAAGCCGCAACCCCCAAAACCTTCAAGCCCTGCGAAGGCCCTAAACCCTAAACAACTCCCAAAGTGCAGCTAAACCCTAAACCCTAAACCCTAAACCCTAAACACCAAACTCTAAGCCTTCAAGAAAGAAATAGACATTGCTTGTTGCTGTTGGCCATCCGGAAAGCTATTTCGTTTCGGTCGGGACACAACCTTTCCATTTCCTACTAATATAACAGAAGTTTTTAGCCCCAGCCCAGCCAACCCAGGCCAGCCCCAGCCCAGCCCTGCCCTCGCACCGGCCCGCCAATTCCAACATCAGGTTCCCAGCTCAAAACCCTAAACCCTAAACCCTAGAGCCCCGAGCCCCGAGCAGCCCAGCCCAGCCCCAGATTGAAAATCAGGTTGATCAAAACTTTCGGTCAAAACGTTTCGGTCAAAACTTTTGGTCAAGACGTTATTGGCACCCAAACCCTTAGCGGTATCTATAAACCGCAAACCCTGCTTGTCTCTAAACTCGCTTTCGGATTGTTCAGGTGGTCGAGGTGCCAATGATGCAGACCCAGGACAGAAAACGTCATCCAGGGTCTCTTGAGCGAAGGTTGTCCCAGCATTTAGGGGCTCTGGTAGAGATAATGTAGGGGCTCAAATAATTACCTATACTATTACCATTTGGCTTCCACAACAAGTGGTTGTGTTCTGATTCTTCAGACTCCTAATGCCTTAGACTCAAGGCTGCTACAGCCCTCAAGCACGAAGCCGTAAGAGAGGGGCCTTAATGAGTAGAATAAGGTGTTGGGGTAGATACATATCTATATATATATATATATATACATACGCACATACACACATACACACATACATATACACACATACATACATACATACATACATACATACATACATACATACATACATACATACATATATACACATGCATAAAACAGCATAGCAAATTAACAAATTGATATACATACTTAAAATACAACAATAAGCAAATACATGTATACATGTACGTGTATGTATATATGTGTATATATATATATATACACATTATAAATATCCTAAGCCTAAGACGTTGGTCCTTGATCTCGAGACACGCCACTTTCGGGCTTGCTTCGAGGTTTGGGGTCTAAGCCTTACGCCAGGACCTGAACCTGGTTGTGCTGAGCCCTTGTCGTGCCAGCTAGCAACGCTTAAAGCTTAGACTATAAAGCCTGGACTCACACGCGTTGCACGCTCTGTTCGAAAGTTCTTCGAAGCTTAAGCAGCCGATTACCCTGTGCGGCCGTCTGATGCCTGCATCTTAGTCTGAGCACTGCCAGGCAAACAGCTTCTGCATAATGTAGGGGCCTGAATAATTAGAATAGGGTTTTGGGGTATAGTATACTACATTTATAATAAGGAACCCCCAAACTATATAGGTAATTACTTTGGGGGCTCCGTAATATAAGTATAGTATAATATACCCCCAAAACCCTATTCTAATTATAGAGGCCTCTATATTACAATGTCATTGCCGTGGAAGTTGGAACGCTGTGAAAGCAGCCCTGGATGAAGAACTCCTGGAAACTTCGGGCTCAGACTTCGCTTGGAGTCGACAAAGGACGACCGGCGAAGACTCACTTTAGGGGTTTAGGGTTTAGGGTTTAGGGTTTTGGGTCTGAAGCGTTCTGAGTACAAGTACGAGCCTGAAGGATGCCGGGCTGTTGAGTGGATCTTCCTTGACACATCAAAGCGACCTCAAGTTCAAGTTCCTATACTCCCTTTTTTGCTGCCATGGATCAGGATCAGCTGAATGTTGAGCAGCTTCAGGCCTCTCGGTTGTGTTGCGCCTCGATGCTTAAGATGGATCTGTCGTGACCTCGAGCTCCATTAGTTTCTTCATGGCAGTTGCAGGCTCGCTGCTCAAGGGTGAAGGAAGGCTGCTCGCTGTCGCAATGCCTCTGTGACTGGCGGCATCGCGAGAGCACGCCTTCGTCTGCCTTCCTTGACCTTTGAGCGGCTTGCCAGTTATGGAGGCGGTTCAACCTTCGAGGAGGTTTCTGAGCTGTAGCTGTCTGTCAGTATAATAGTAAAAGTTGTGTGCAGGATTAGGTGAAGAATTCGCAGAACATTCCAGCCACTCGCCGACTTTGACCGGGACAGCCGCGGAGGTACGTGCAGCAGATCCATGCCTCTGAAAACGCTTTTGCTGCCATGCCTGGCGAAGGATCTGTCGTGACCTTGCGCTCTCATACGAGTGCTCAGGCAGCAATCGCAATTCGCAAAGCAGCCTAAAGCGACCACGGACATCTTGCTTCTGATACCACCGCTGACAATGACCCGGAAACCAGGCTACGGACAAGGCGATGGGCTAAGAATGCATTGGGTTACCAAAGCCTGCGCCAATTCTTCGACGCCCGCAATACCATAGCCCTGTTTCCATATCGCCTATCACGGAACATAGTAAAACCAAAACTTCCCTAAACCCTAAGCCCTAAACCTTTCAACGCCGCCCCCCTCCCCACCCGCAGAGCCACCAGGAGCAGCTGGTCCACGTCCCGAAAACCATGCAACAGGAGTTGCTGGGGAGCCGACCTGGGATTCCGGAGTTTTAGGTCCACGTCTGACGGGTTTAAGGCTTTGAGGGTTTGGGATTCCTGGATTGGCGGGATTTATGGTGTTGGTTTCCCGACTGGAAGCACACGGTGTCAGCTGGCAGGTTGAGATCTTTCCAGGAGATGTATGTTTTTCGCAGTTTGCGCAAGCATGGACCAATCTTCCCAAATCATTCTGAAGTCTACTGCAAGTTCCTACGCCCTAACCCGCAAGCCCTGAACCCTACCTACATCCCAAATCCCTTGTCTGTCGGGTTGGTCATGATAACAATCACCAACAGCCCCTCAGTAAGTAGAATCTCGGCCCTGCATGTGCCTGCACTGGTCCCTTGAACCCAAAACCCTAGTGCAAGGGAACACTGAGACATGACCAGACAAATCTTGTTCTTAAGGTCAATGGTGGGCCGAATTTCCGATTGTGTAGTTCCCTAAACCTTAAACCCTTAACCCTAAATCCTGCAACCTCGTTCTGTAGGGTTTCCATTGGTCTCTGCAGGGCTGGCACGCTTCGTGGGTACTTATAAAAAGTAGCGTCAGTTGCACCTGGTTCTAACATGGTTTAGGCTTCAGAGTTTAGGGTTTAGGATTTACGCATTAGGGTTCAGGGCTTAGGGTTCACGCTTTAGGGTTCAGGGTTTAGGGTTTACGCTTTAGGGTTCAGGATTTTGGGTTTACGTTTTAGGGTTTGTTGGATGGTTGTGGCTTCTTGCCTGCAGCCCAAGTATGAATGTGAAGTGGAGGTTTTGACTCACCAACATTCCCGGAGCCCGTCTACGTGAAAGACCATGAGCCCTTCTAGAAACCTTGGAACCCTGTGTTAGAGGCCTCGGACGCGATAAACCTGAACCCTGAACCGTAAACCCTAAAGCCTGAACCCTAAGCCCTAAACCCAAAGCCTCCAACCCTCCGAATCCTAAACCACAAACTCCTAAACGCCTAATCCCTAAACCCCAAACCCCAAATCCCAGACCACCCTAAACCCTGAACCCTAAACCCTAAACCCGAAACCCTAAACCCTAAACCCTAAACCCGAAACCCCCAAAGTGCTAAAGCCAGGAGCGCATCGTCCACCAGCCCGTCGAGCAGGTCGTAGAGGTTCCCGTGCCCATGACGCAGGACAGGGGCTGCTTCGAAGGGGTCCAGGTTTAGGGTTTGGGGTCTAGGGATCAGGGTTTGGGGTTCAGGGTTTAGGGTTTAGGGTTTAGGATTCAGGGCTTCGGTAGGGTTTAGGGTTTAGGGTTTAGGGTTCAGGGTTTAGGGTTCAGGATTCAGGGCTTAGGGTTTGGGGTCTAGGGTTTAGGGTTTAGGGTTCAGGGTTTAGGGTTTAGGATTCGGGGCTTAGGGTTGAGGTTCAGGGTTTAGCGTTCAGGATTTCGGGTTTAGGGTTAAGGGTTTGGGGTTCAAGGGCTGCTTTAAAGGGATCCATTAGGCTTCTTATATATAAGGGTTCCTATCGGGGTTAATATAAGGGCTCCCTTAACGGTATCTATTGACGGTTTAGGGTTTGGGGTTTTAGTTTTTAGGTGTTTCGGGTTTTCAGGGGTTGGTGGTTTTAGGGTTTAGGGTTTTGTGTGGTGGGTTTTTGGGGGTTTGGAAGTTAGGGTTTGGGGGTTTATAGATCAGGGTACAGCGATTCAGGGGCTAGGATTTGCCCTCACCTGAAAATCATTTTGATTTGATCAGGGTTTAAGGGCACGGTTGCTGCTATTTTCAGAACCTATGTACGCATCCCAAGAATCAACTGCAGCAGCTAGGTTTTTACAGTTTTCGTGTGCAGGGTTTTGGCTTACAATTTTTGGGGTTTATTGCCCATTCCTTTTGGGGGTTTATGGCCTTGCAGCAGGAGCAGGTGGTTCACGTCCCCAAGGTGATGCAGCACGAACGAGCGCACCACTTCCACGTGGAGGCACGCGGGCTCAAACCTTTTTGTGTTTTCCTTGTGGTACAAGTCGCCTAGTAGCGACGATGCTACTGCTCCGATGCCTGTTGTTGTGCAGAAGCGTGTTCTTTGCGAGGAGATCGTCGATGTTCCCGTTGAGCAGCACATCGAGCAGATCGTGCATGTGCCCAAGGTGCCCACCGGCCAAGACCCAAGATTTGTTGGATTAAAGTTTAGGAGCCCCTAAACCCCTAAACCCTAAAGACTTGAAAAAGACAGCCCGGAGAGTACACAGCAGGATTTGGCTGGAACCGGGAGGAGTACTCCCCGCGATCCGGGGATGTTGGGGACTCGAAATGCTCTAAGCCACCCGAATCCAGTGTGCCCAGATCTTCCGAAGCACTTTGAATCGTAGTAGGATCTCGAATATGATATGGGAGTTTCCGAAAATTAGCGTACCTTATTTTGGGGTCCTTATAATAAGGGTCCTATTATTTAGGGTACAATAGTAGGGTCCCCTATTTTCAGAAACCCCCATATAAGGTGTATTCCTTGATCAGGGGGTATAGGAAGAACGGACCGTTGGAGGAGAACCCAAGCGAAGCCCTAAAGCCTCCGAAGCTCCGTGTAAAGTCCTTCGCTTGGAGGCTAGCCCTTGAAGCCGCTTTGTATCAGGCTTCTAAATCTCTGAGTTTAGGGTGTAGGCTTTAGGGCTTCTAAGCCTTAACCCTGAACTCGGCTTGCCGTGATGGTTTGTGATTCCGGGCGCTCTACCGTCATTTCAGGCTGGGTCGGAAAACCCTAAACCCTAATCTAGGGGCTAAAATTGAAAATTTAGAAACACCAATACTATTGCGGGGGTTCCTTATTATAGCTATAGCATAATGGGCCCCAAGACCTTATTCTAACTATTAAGGCCCCTACATTAAGCCCTAACCCCTAAAATTCAACAAGGGCAGTGCGTGGTCCTTTAGGTCCCAGCATGTTGGAGGATTCCGGTGTGTTCTGGCGTACAGATCTCTTTCACCGCCCTGAGCCGTCGTGTGTTTCATGATGTAATTCCTCCACAAGTGATTCGCTTCCGGATGGCCCCATGACAACCCTAAGCCATAAACCCACACCTAAATCCCAAATCTTGAAACCCTGAACCCGGAAATGCCCGAAACCTGAAGCCCTAAACCCTGAACCGGGCAGGTCCAGAAAGTCGAGAAGATTGTCCACAACCCCGTGCAACTCGAGGTTCCTTCGGACTTTTTTTGGGGGGGGGGGTTTAACGGGGGGGGGGGGGGGGGGGGGGG